CGTCCTCCCACCCATCCATCCCCCATCCCCACTTGTCCATCTGTCTATCCACCGTCCTCCCGCCCATCCATCCCCCATCCCCACCTGTCCATCTTTCTCTCCACCGTCCTCCCACCCATCCATCCTCCAACATGCTCCAAGGACCCTGGGTGGTTTTTCTTTTGTCCCATCCTATTTTGCAGACTCTCTTAATGAGGACATGCTGTTTCATAGAACAATAAAAAGCAGGACAAAAAGTACTGCTGATGGGAAACACTGAGCAACCTTAATCCCTGAGGTCCGGACGGTCTGCAATCAGGGCTGCCGAGATCCCTGCCCCAGGGGTGGTGAGGACTGGGGTGAGGCCCAGGGGTGCCTGCATGGCGCGGGGAGCAGAGGAGGCCTGGATGGGGTGCTTCCTCCTCTTTGCCCTGGACCCCAGGCCGCCCTCCTGCGTGATGACTCAGTGCCTTCCTCCGGCCTCCTGCGTGATGACTCAGCGCCTTCCTCCGGCTGGAGGGAGCCTTGGGCAGGTGGGGCTCGCTCTCACCTCCTTTAGCAGCGAGAGGCAGGCTTGGGTTCCTCGTGGCTGTGGAAGAGCTGGGATCTGCAGGCTCCCACATCCCCGGCCAGTTGGACGGGTTGTCTGGGTTTTCGGCCAAGGCCGGGATGCGATATCTTTGGGGCCAGTCCTGCTTGGGTTTTCTTTTTTAGTTGCCATCCCCGAAGGGCTCTGAGGCTGGCATGTCCCTGCTGGGCACGCCTGGCCAGGCTTCTCCTGGGGGGCGGGGGGAGGGCGGGAGTGAGGAGAGTATTAAATGCCCCTCTGCTTTTGTGCTCCGTAATCTTTGTCATCCTTAAGTGTCGCTTTTTCTGAAAGGCAGCCTTCTCGTTTGTCTGGGAGCTGAAACTTGGCCCTGGGGTTATTGATGGGGTGGTTTCTGTCACTGGGCCGGGCTGTTAACTGTGTGTGTCCTGGTCCCGTCAAAGCCTTTGGCTTCTCCAAGATAAAGAGGGCCCATCTTCCAAAACCGGACAGCAGCTAGGGACGCAGGAACCCAGATGCGCTGAGGGGACAATACACTTCTTGTCACTTTTCTTTCTCGTCTTATGTGGAGGGCCTCATTTCTCTGTTTGCATGGACCAGTTCACTCATCCACCCACCTGTGTATCCACCTCCCACCTGCTCATCCACCCACCTGCTTACCCATCTGCCTGCCCGCCCACCCATTCTCCCACCTCACCCCGGACCCCTTTCCCGTGCCCGCCTCTACCCACTGGCTCGGTGCCGGGCTCAGTGGGGTAGCCTAAAGTGAATCGGACATGGGCTTAGCTTTTCTGAGCTCACAGCCAGGTCAGAGAGCAAATTCGAACTCAAAGACCGTAGCCCCAGGTGGTCTTGGTCTCATGGGCTGCAGAGGGGAAGGAGCACTGGCCAGCGAGCCAAACCTGAGTTCGAGTTCTAGCAGCCGCTTTTCAGCTGTGGGACCTGGGCCCGGCCGCCTGCTCTGCCGGCCTCGGTTTCTCTTCAGGAGGAGGAGGTGGCGGGCGGTACCTCTACACACCATGGGCGGTGCTGGGTAAAGGTGGGGTGCCCCTCGTTCTGCCCCAGAGGCCACAGGGGGCCTGGCAGGCCTTCTGCTCCTTGGCCCACAAGGACTCCTGCCCGGGGAGGCCGTGCTGTGGTGCACACGCGGCCCCCCTCCGTGCCGCCTCGCCCGCCAGCCCGGGCGCTCTGGGAACCGGGGATCTGAACCGCGGCCACATGGCCGCCCGCCCCGGCTCTGCGCTGCTCGAGTCTGTGTCGGTCTGCTGCGACCCGGTTCCCTCTGGGGCCAGATTTCCTCCTTCCTTCGTAGAGCCCAAGCCTTTCCCGCAATTGTCCCGGCGCGAGGACACCACCTCTGTATATCTTGGGGCCCAGACCAAGCCCCTCCCTCCCCGGTTCCAGTGGCCTGACCCGCCTTGGACACATGCCTGGCACAGCCGCCCGGAGTCAAGAGGACGGGAAAACAGAAACCTTTAGCCCCGACTGCTCCGTTCTCTGGCTCCGACCCACACGCCCAGGCTGCGGGGCTGACGGTCAGCTGGGAGCCGTCCCTCACACGGGGTTGCTAGGAGACGTCCCTGCAAGTGAACCCGCCTGAGCCGCCGCCTCCTCTCTGTCCCCAGTCTTTGCTTCTCCCTGGACAAGAAAGCCCTGTGGTTAGGGCTGGGGCACAGGAGCGGGTGCCAGACACCCCCTTACCCTGTGAGAAGGCGTTTTCTGGCAGGTGCAGCCGGCGTGCAGAGCTGCCTCCCAGAGCGTCGCAGGAGGGAGGGATCTGTGCCTGCTCTATTCCGTGTGGTCGCCACCAACCACTCATGGGCACTCAGCACTTGAAATGCGGCTAATGCAACCGGGGGACTCCGATTTTCATTTCAGGTAATTTACTCGGCCACAGTGTGGCCTGGAGCTACCTACTGGACAGCCCGGCCCAAGTGGGTTCCTGAGGGGACAGACAAGGTCAGGGTGAAGTGGCCACTTTCTGGGCACCAGCCCAGTCTGTCCTCACGGGGACCCCTGTGGCTAACGGCCAGATGGCGCTGGGTGGAGCCAACTCCTAAAAACACTCGCGTTCCTGATGCTGTGTTTTCAGCTCGCCCCTGTCCGCAGACGCAGACGGCCTTCTCAGAGTTGTCAGGCAGCCATAGTTTTATTACCCTGCTTTGTTGACTTATTATCATGGCTAAGTTATTTTTCCTCATTCCTGTGTCATCTTCCTATTTGTCATTTTAAGGGGTTGCTTCATCGCCCACCAAGTCAATCCCGCCATTGTCTTACAGTTGAGCCTAAAGGTTATTTCCGCTTTTTTGCCATCATTATGGACCAGCGTGAACATGGCCCTGGTGCGTTTCTTTTGTTGCCCTTTTTTGCCATCATGTCCTGGCCTGAAACGACCAGGAATGAGGGCCAGATAAGAATAGGCCTCACGGGTATTTCCAAGGCTCTTACAACCTTGTGCTATTTCTGTCTGTAAGCGATAAGCTGTTGACACTCCCGCTGAGCACGGGAGGTTGTCGCTGTTCCTTACATTGTCGATTTAATACGTGTAAGATGATCCCCACTTTCTGGGCCGAAGGTTCTTTTGTGGCCCGTTAGTGAGCGTCCTGGGTTTTCCCTCGGCCCCTCTGAGAGGTCCCAGGAAAGGGCCCTTCGCAGGTCACAGTGCACGTGGGAGGGGAGGTGCCCTTGTCACGCCTTCTGCACAGAAGCCGCCCTCAGCTTCCATAGAGAAGCACTTTGGGAGACATTTGCAGAACGCCGCCAAAAATGGGGGGCTCGTTTCTGTTTTGGTGGACGGTGATCCAAGTCCAGAAGGGAGCTGATTGACTCTCATAACTGAAAAGTCTGAGGGCAGAGCAGCCTTCAGGAACAGCTGGCTCCAGGTGTTTGCAGGCTCTCGGCATCGGCCCTCGTCCACGTGTGGGCCCCGCTTTCCTGTCTTGGCCGCGTCTTCAGGCAGGATCTGAGGGAGTGGCCGGATGGGCTGCATGATCCTCCGGCCTTCATCCTAATAGCGCAGCAACCCAAGAAAGAGAAAGGCTTGTTCCTGATAACTTTAGCAAAAACCCCCAAGACCCCCAGACAAACCAAAGACTGACAGGTACAACAGCCTGCTTGCCTGCCTTGGGTCACATGGCGCGTCTGAACCACTGGCGGGGACTGAGGGTCCAGACTCAGTGGTTGGGCTGGGCCGTGCACCTGGGCCAGGTGAGCTCAGCCCCTCAGGAATCCCTTGCACCGAGAGCGAGGGAGAGGCAGTTCCCAGAGGAACCTGGAGTTGTGAGTCATTGAGGGGGATGGACGCTGCCCAGTTCCCCTGCTGCCTTCTTTGGACTCATCTTGGGGCACCTCCACCGGCTCCCAGGACTGATGTGCCCCGGGGATCCGCCCTGCGGGCTCCTGGCCCCTGTGTGCTCTGTAGCTGCTGGGGCAGGTGGTGTTCTGTCCTGCAGATAAGACGCTGCCACAGCTTGGACCCTGGTCCCTGCGTTCACCTTTGTGGACTCTGTTTCCTCATCTGCAGAGTCGGGGTGGGTGGGGAGTTGGGCCTTAGGAGTGTGGCCAGTGTTCTTTCTGGTCCCTGAGTTCTGTGATCTCAGCTCTTTCCTTGGGGGAGGAGGCAGGGCACACAGAGATCAGCCGGCAGCCCAGAGGGGAAGAGAGGAGGGGAGGGGAGGAGAGGAGAGGCCCTGGGCTGTCCCCTACCGTCTGCCTGCCACTGCGGTTGATTTTCAGGAAGCCTCCAGCCCTGGCCGGCTGGGCCCCTTGGGTGGGGCAGGGCTACCCGCAGGCAGGGCTGTCCCCACCTCCTCCAGGCTGGGCCCCGAGCAGCACAAGGGGGCGGATTGTTCCCACCGAGGTGCCTGGGCCAGAAAACACAAGCGGCCACTGTGTGTGCTCTCGAGGGTGTGGGCTGAGGCGTTCGTCACTGCTGGCCCGCAGTGGAGGGCTGGGTGCGAGCGCCCCCATCCTTCCCTGGACCCCAGCCTTGCCTCCGCCGGTGGGAGAGATGGACGTCAGAGGGCACAGACAGCACTTGTTCTTTATGCCTGTCGCCTCCCACGGGCGCCCTGCCCACTGGGACCACCCTTAGCTTTCCCAGACCCACCCAGTCTCCACGATGCCCTCACATCAGACCACAGAGGCCCTGGGCATCACTGCCCCACCCTGTGCAGAGAGGGAAACTGAGGCCCAGAGAGGACAAAGCAGCCAAGAATATGGGCTTCGAAGCCACACCGGCCTGAATTCAGCTCCCAGCCCTGTGTGACCTCGGGCAAGTGAGTTGACCTCTCTGGGCATCAGTTTTCTTGCAGGTTAGCTCTTAATAGTGGTACCTCCTTGGTGTGGAAATGAATGGAAGGGCTCAGTGTCCTCCCTAGGCCCCACGCTTCAGTTCTAGGCTCAGCTAGTTTCATTCCCAGCCCCCCCTGGGGCCGGCCTGGCCCAGCAGCAGGCCTGGGGACCATCTCCGCAGGCCATCTCTGCCATTGTTCCAGGTTGCGGTTCATTGGCTGACTCGGTCACCTCCCCGTCCCTGAGCCAGTCACTCTGTGCTGATTGGCTGAGTCAGCCACCCACTTCCCGAGATAGGGGCGGAATTCCCTCTTGCCTCCATTGCATCTCGGGGCCTGGGAATGTGGGCGGCTTAGCTCTGCTGCAGAAAAATCCGGGAAGTGTGAGTCCTGCGATGGGAGGGCCATGGCTCTGACCCACAGCCCCCATCAGGCAGACACTGTCTGGTTCACTAGCAAAGCGCCTCACACCAGCATGGGCTCGGGAAATAATGGCTGAGGGAAGGAATAGGGAACGAGTGAGCGCGGCAGCCTGGTGCAGAGGGCACACGGGGTGGGGGCTCTGCATCGGGTCCATCCTGGGCGGCCCGGTACCTCTCTGAGCCGTGGCCAGATGGCTCGCACCTGCCCTAATGGCCTGTGGGCAGCTGCGTCCTGGCAGCGTGGTGGTCCCCAGCTGCCAGCTTGCTATTGGCGGTGGTTGTCATTTATCTTTAGCAAACGGAGCCGGAGCGGGAACTGGGCTCTCGCCAGCAGGGCCTGTTGGGAAGTGATTCAGAGCTCAGGCAGCCTGTGTTTGGACCCAGCCTTCACCCCCCACTGGCTGTGCGACCTCAGGCAAATCTCTGTGTGTCTCTGAGTCACAGCCGCCCACCTGTCGTTGGGAATGCTGGTGTTTGTCTCCGAGCGCTGGCCGATGAGGTGAGAGTCCGGGTCATGCTGGGCCTGGCGCCCGGTGAGAGCGCACAGAGGTCGCTGTTTTCACCACCAGCCGCGGTTCCGTCCTCCGTGGCCTCAGGTGACGGGTCGCGGCCTCAGCCAGGCTTTAAAAGACGTTCATTTTGGCCCAGTCGCTGTGTGCCATGGCTGCTGCTAACCCTTCTTGGCAGGCGCCGGCCTCCGGAGTCCGAGCCAGGTGCTGGGCAGCGCGGTCCGCCTGTGTGGACACAGCAACCCTGCCGGCCCTGTGGCCAGTGCTGCCTTTCGGGGTGGCGGGTGAGCGGGTTTTGTGCCATCCTGGAAAACGGACCCAGCCTGGGCCTCCCCCACCCCCAGGAGAAAACGTCCCTTGTAAGGAAACCCAGAGAAAGGTGGCAGGCGGCGTCCCCCTCCCGCCAGCCCTCGGGAGTGTAGGCGATGGCGGAGGGAGGCCTTTGCCCAGCTCAGCCCCGTGCCGCCCTCTGGGCCCCCGCGGAGCCCTCCGCCTTCCTCTCTGAGAGGAGCCCTGGGGAAGGTGTGCGGAAGACGGGGTAGTCTTATATGGCGAGTATATAACAAACTCTGTATTTTGAGTGGAAATGTTAGGGGGTCGTCTTATACGCCCAGTCGTTTTATACGCCGGCAAATACGGTATATCATTCTGAGGACATCCTTTAATGCAGCGGTTCTCAACCTGTGGGTCGCGACGCCTTTGGGAGTCGAATGACCCTTTCACAGGGGTCGCCTAAGACCATCGGAAAACACATATATAATTACATATTGTTTTTGTGATTAATCACTATGCTTTAATTATGTTCAATTTGTAACAATGACGTTGGGGGTCACCACAACATGAGAAGCTGTATTAAAGGGTCGCGGCAATAGGAAGGTTGAGAACCACTGCTCTGAGGGAGGAGAAAATCAGAAAGAGATGGAAGGGCGGGTACATAATCAATTAAGGAAGGGGGGGGACCTGACTGCTTAATTGATGGGGGTTTAAGGTGTTCTGAACAAGTTTTCAAAATCTGAATTAGGGGCGAGGACGCCACCCAGGCAGGGCTGAGTGAGCAGGGTGGGTGAATGTAGGACTAGTACTGAGCCTGGGGAATGGCCCCACAGGAAATGCTGATCCCTGAGCTGGGCGCCTGGCCAGTGGGGAGGTTTCATAGACCCTGTGACGTAGGAACACGGTGGCCGCAGACCCAGGAGCAGGCCGGCCGGCATTCCAGGCCCGGCTTTGTCACCAGGCGGCCTCCGCATGCACGTGAGGGAGGAATAGCACCCACACCGTAGGGCTCTGAGGCGATAATGCGTGAGCCCGTGTGGCAGTGTAGACCGAGGCCCACGCACAGTGGGTCCATGATAAATGTGGATTTTGCAGCTCAGTGAACAGAAACACGTACCTAAACGGAGAATAAATTTAGACGAGTGTAAGATTTGCCTATTGGCATGACCCCCTTCGAGAAGGCTCCCTGGCAGGATTCAGCACCTCCCCCTCCCCCCTAGTGTCTACTCCACCCCCAGCAGTGCGCTGTCTCCCGGCTGGCTGAGAGGGTGGGTCTCTCTCCTGCTGGCCCGGAGCCCTCATCCGGCAGGGAAAGTGCACAGCCTCTTGGAAGCCAGAGGACCCAGATTCAAATTCTGATGCCACTACCTGGCTCCAGCCATGCCGCCTCTGCCTCGACTTGCCCGTCTGTGGAACGGGGACACTGTGGTGCTAGTTACTGTGGGGAGCACAGGAGGTGACATGTATGCCTGTCGCCCTCAGGGAGCCAGGTGCGCAGGTGGGCGTTTCCAGTGGATGGGGCTGCACAGCGTTTGTCAGGCCAGAGAGAGCGAGAGCCCTCTGCCTCTCCCTTCAGGCTGCTCCCAGCTCAGGCAGCACCGTCCCATGCACTGACATGCGTGTGAGCGTTGATGAAAGTGTCTTGTTCTCCGTTTTCTTTGTATGGAAGTATCTGACCACATGAATTCAGTGGCTTGGCGTTTTTCCTGAACACTCGCCAGTCTTCCATGTTGGTATTTGCAGAGCGATGCCAATCTGGTATTTTTATTGGTCTCATGTGTTGGGCTTTTAAAATACATACGCTATGATTAAGCTTAGAACGTTGTTTCTCACGCATGCCGTGAGCCATGGTCAAGGTCTGCGTCGCTCCCACTACAGCCCTCAGTGTGCCCTGGGCCCCCGGCCTCTGTTTCCACGGCACGCGGCCTCGGAGCCGGCGGCCAGGGATCCGTTTCCTCCGGGCACGCCTCGCTCACCCTCTGTGTCTCTGCTCTGCAGGCCAAGAACAAGGAGACGGGTGCCCTGGCCGCCGCCAAAGTCATCGAGACCAAGAGCGAGGAGGAGCTGGAGGACTACATTGTGGAGATTGAGATCCTGGCCACCTGTGACCACCCCTACATCGTGAAGCTCCTGGGGGCCTACTACTACGACGGCATGCTGTGGGTAAGCCGCCGCCGCCCCTCGCCCCGTTGTCCGATCCTGAGGGCCTCAGCGTTTCTCAGCATCTGCCTGGAGGGCAAGGGCCAGATGAAGGAGAAAAAGAAGTAGGGGGGCCTGGATCCCTGCCCCCCATTTCTGCACAGCCTCCCCACTTTTCAGGGTGGCGACAGTGGCTCAGAGCCAGAAGAAACTATAACCCTGGCCAGTGTGCTCAGTGGTTAGAATGTTGCCCCCGTCCCTCCCCCCCCACCCCCGACTGAAGGGTCTTAGGTTTGATTCTTGGTCAAGGGCATGTACCTGGGGTTGCAGATTGATCCCTGGCCCCGGTCAGGGTATGTGCAGGAAGCACTGGTTGATATGGCTCTCTCACATCAATGTTTCTCTCTCTCTCTCTCTCTCTCTCCCCCCCCCTTTCCTTCTCTCTCTCTAAAATCAATTTTTAAAAACGAGTCAACTGTGATATATATATGATCATCAGAAAAAAAATGAGAGTATGTAGAAAAGCAAAAGAGAAGAAAAGGTTAATACCATCCACATTTTTATACTAGAGATAACCACCGATAATGCTTGGAATGTGTTTTGATTTTTTTTGTATATACACACTCCCATTTCCACAGTTTTGTTTTTTTTAAAAAGCAAATTTGTACCATACCTGTTACTTTTTTTTTTACCTTTTGCTTTTTATGTAAGCTGCATTAAGAAGACTTCCATGTCAGTAGAGAAGGGAAATTCCTGCATCGCCGTGTTGTGTTCTGTAGAACCCATCTTCTGACTGCTGTTCTCTGCTGATGGGTAGGCACGTCCTTGCGATTGTTTAGGTTGTAAACAACTCTGATGGACATCTCTGGGTTTTTGTGTTGTCGCCTGAGAACCTCTTTAGAAGGTTTTTAAAGATTTTAAGTGTCTGTTGCCAAGCCGGCCTCCCAGAGCCATGTTCGATAATAGACAGAGGTGTTTTCCCACCCACTGACCTGTCCATCCGTCCTGCGGTCCATCCATACAGGCTTGACGGGACTGCGGATCATGTACCCATTAAGGAAAACATCTTTTCTGTGTCTGTGCCCATTGCCGAGTGTGGCCGGGCACCAAGTTCACTGCGTTCTCAGGGCCAAAGATAACACAAGAACAGACAACGTTTATCGAGGGCGCACTGTGTGCGAGGCCCTGTGTGAGTCTTACTTGCGTTGTGTCATCTCTTGCTCGTGCTGTGGGGTTGTCCTCCGCATCTCACAGGAAAATGAGACACAAAGAGGCTCAGGGCCTCCGGCCCCCAAGGCCACGCTGCTGGGAAGGGGCAGAGCCGGAAACCCAGATGGAGAGAAAGCACATTTTGTAACGAGGCTGTGGCTGTCTGAGGTTGTCTGAGTAGATACAGCAGAATTTTCTGTCCCCAAGTCGTCACTTTAGGCGGGTGTTTTCTCATCCTGGGCTGCTGCTGTCGCCGCCCACCCGTTTCCTACCCTCCCGCCTTGTAGCCGCCCCACAGCCTACATTCTGCTGCTTTGTAAACCTTGAAAGGTGCCGTCTTCTCATTTTGGGGACGTGGGTTTTAGACATGAAATCGAGGAGGTGGCCTTAGAACAAAGGGTTTCAGGCAGAAAGGACAGCAGGGCAGTGGTGTGGAGGCGGGGAGGATGAGGTGTCTGGATGATGGGTGGGTTAGGGTGCGGGCCGTACGTGGTGGAAGGCGAGGGTAGTGGAGTGATTGGAGGCTGGGTTGTGCAGGGCCTTCTGTCTGTTCTCAAAGTGCAGCCGGACCAGCGGCCGTACCTGGGGCCTTGGTAGAGCTACCAAGTATCAGGCCCAGCCCAGCCAGCTGAGTCAGGCCCTCTGGGTGGGGCCCAGCTCCTGCGGTTCAAGGCGCCTTCTCAGTGACTCTGGTGCTCAAGTTTGAGAGCTACTGTTTCAGGGATGGGGACCCAGTGGCAGTTTTCCCAGGGGAGAGACGGGTACTGTGTGTTTTGGAAAGAAATCGCGTTGGAGGGAGCAAGAGTAAAAGCATTGAGACTGATGAGGAAGTGGTAAGAATGGACGCGGCCAGAAGCCCCGGGGTGTGGGACCGTCAGTGGGTCAGGGAAGGCCTCAGCAGAAGGGTCATTTGAACTGGATCTTGAAGGATGCATGGGAGTTCTCCCAAGGGAAGCGAAGGAAGAGAAGGCTAAGGAGAGGGACAGACTGTGGCCCAAGCGTCCGGGCCCCCTCCCCTCCCCCATGGCATCCAGGACAGACTTTCCCCTGGGTGGGCGGGGCTCACTCACCGCCCCAAGGATTAGCTCCTTTTCTTCCAGGATTTGTAATCTTAGCAGAATCCTTCCAGTGGTCTCTTGGGACCACTTCTGCTTTGGAATATCAAATGGTACAAGGGCTGTGGGGAGGGGGCGACTCCAAATTATTCTAGGCCAGTGTCACCCCATAGAAAGATAATGTGAGCCACAAATGCAGTTATACATTTTCTAATGGCCACCTTAAAAAGAGCAAAACTAAATAGATGAAATTAATTTAAATAACGTAATTTACTTAACCCAGTATACAAAAATATCATTGGCATGTAAAAATTATTAACGACATAATTTACATTTTTTAAATATTTTATTCTAAGTCTTCAAATCCAGTGTGTTTTTTTACACGAACAGCACATCTCAATGCAGGAGCTAAATTTCCATCAGAAATCTTTGTTTGTTTATTCATTCATCCATTCCTCACCCAAGGACATGCTTAGAGAGAGAAAGGGGGAGGGGAGAGAGAGAAACACCCAGTGAGAGAGAAACATCCATCGGTTGCCTCCCATTCATGCCCTGAGCAGGAATCAAACCTGCAACCCAGGCATGTGCCCTGCCCAGGAATCTAACTGGCAACCTTTTGGTGCACAAGATAACGTTCAACCAACTGAGTCACTCCGGCCAGGGAGAAATCTATATTTAGATGCCATAAAATTTACAGTGGTCATAAAATTGATCTATAATTAGATGCCATAAAATTTATAGTTGACAAAAGAGATTCATATCCCCGGTGGTTCCAACATTCTTAAATGTTTCCCAGTAACAGAATCTCGTGTCAGGTTTCAAATAAGTTAATTAAAAGTGAATAAGACGATCAATTTTCAGCACTGGCCCATTTCACGGGCTCAGCAGCCCCAGGTGGTTCGTGGCTGCTGTGTGGGCAGTGCGGGCAGTGCAGCTTGGGAGGCGCACCGTGGCCCGGACAGGGAGCGAGTGCCGGAACCCTGGGCTGACCTCGCCCACCTGCCCCAGCCCCCAGCCCCCAGCCGACTCCGGTCTCTGGGAAAGTCTGGCAAGGGCTGGTGCCTTGTGCTACCTGTATTGTGGGAGTGAGAGAGAGTGGCATGTATGGTACATGTTTCACAGTCCGCCCTCTGTGAACAGCCCTGGTTTATAGCACCTGCCAGTGTCTGAGATGTAGGTATCCCTGCCACGGTCAATTTCAGGGTACAGAGGCATGTCGCTCACAGAGTGGGAAGGGGCACCCTCCTTGATGGCCTGTTTCAGAGACAGTAGATGTAGGTCACTCCAGGAGTATAGGTGACAGGGGACTGCTGTAAATCATTAGGAAAGCAATGTGGGTTTGAGTATTTTATCATCTTTGTATTTAGTACTAGAGGCCCAGTGCATGAAATCCATGCACGGGTAGGGTCCCTAGGCCTGGCCTGTGATCAGGGCCGATCGGGGCCTTCCTTCCCCGGGTTGCTGGCTGCTGGCTGGGGCCTTCCTTCATTCTGCGCTGCCCCCTGGTGGTCAGCGCATGTCATAACGAGTGATCGAACTCCCAGTTTCCCCGGTCAGACTCCTGAGGGGACACTTTGCATATTAGCCTTTTATATATATAGATGATTTTTAAAACTAAACTTAAGTTGTAATAATGGCTGTATTTAACAACTGGCTTGCAGAAGTCCCTGAAAATGTCACAGTTGGCTCTCATAGGCTGGCAACCGAAGTCTCCGGGAGATCACGGAGCCAGACGGGGGGAGTGGGGCTGGTCCAGAGGCTGCTGCTGAGTGTCACACAGCCAGCCCCGGATTTGCAAGATGAGCCAGCTGGTTCCAGAGAGGGTCTGGGGTTTACCCAAGGTCACACAGCAAATTCGTCACAAGGCCAGAGGCACAGAGATCCTCAGTGACCGTGGAGGACAGACCTACTCGTGTCCACTGCCTGAAGGACACCCTCCACAGCTCGCGCTGTTAAGGAAAGAACGTCCAAACCTACAGGAAGTTTTTATTTATTTCTCGATTAATCCTCACCCAAGGATGTGTTTTTCATTGACTTTTAGAGAGAATAGGGGGGAGGGGGCGGGAAGAGAGAGACAGACAGAAACATTGATTAGTTGCCTCCCATACACGCCTGGATTGAACCTGAAACCTAGGTACGTGCCCTTGACCAGGAATTGAACCCAAGACCCTTCATGTGCGGGCTGATGCTCTACCACTGAGCCACACTGGCCAGTGCCCTACAGAACATTTTTAGAAGAATTTATCTGAGCCAGCCCAGGCTGAGGGCGCCGGAGACACCAGGCCTTTTGCTCAGTTTTACCTCTTGCCCCCCTGCTCCCTGATCTGTGCTCTCAAAGGGGACTCCGTGCTGAGGTTGGGGACTCTACACTGAGATTATCTAAAGCAGGGACGGGGGACCTTTTTTCTGCCAAGGGCCACTTGGATATTTATGACACCATTCGAGGGCCATACAAAATTATCAACTTAAACATTAGCCGGCTATAGTTGGTCAAACATTCATTAACTCATGCCTCATGCCTTGGCAGGGCCAGACCAAATGATTTTGTGGGCCCTATATGGCCCGAGGGCTGGATGTTCCCCACCCCTGGAAGCCGCAGGGAAAATGGTGGAAAATTCACAGAGTCCATTGCCAGAAAGAGCCATTTATGGCTCTGTTCATTTCTTAAGGTCCCAGTTTGGCTTCATACTGTATCTCGTGTGGGCAGTTTATTCCTCAATCTTGGCTAAACTCCTTGGGCTTAACCTATTGGCCTCACAA